TTTTGTTGATGACGTTTACTATAGTAGACATGTGAGTGATGACATCAAATGTATTGTTGATGACGTTTATTACAGTAGACGTGTGAGTGATGACAACGTCTGTTGCCCATCAGATGTATAGTTGATGACGATTACTACAGTAGACGTGTGAGTGATGACAACGTCTGTTGCCCATCGGATGTATTGTTGATAACGTTTACTATAGTAGACATGTGAGTGATGACACTCTGTTGCCCATCAGATGTTTTGTTGATGTCGTTTACTATAGTAGACGTGTGACTGATGACATCAGATGTTTTGTTGATGACGTTTACTATAGTTGACGTGTGGGTGATGACATTAGATGTATTGTTGATAACGTTTACTATAGTAGACGTGTGGGTGATGGCATCAGATGTATTGTTGCTGACGTTTACTATAGTAGACGTGTGGGTGATGACATCAGAAGTACTGTTGATGATGTTCACTATAGTAGACGTGTGAGTGACGACATCAGATGTATTGTTGATGACGTTTACTATAGTAGACGTGTGAGTGATGACATCAGATGTATTGTTGATGACGTTTACTATAGTAGACGTGTGAGTGATGACATCAGATGTTCTGTTAAGCCGTTGCTAGTCAATGCTCTCGCAAGCGCAGGGCTGTGTTGCGCTCAGTGAGTTGCCACACATGTCATAGCCCGCAGAGGATTGGACATCTACTGAGACGCTCCAGACACTTAGGCTGCCCACCAGTCCTAGAGTAGGGTTAGTAGTAGGTTTACATGCAACAACAAACACACTTGCGACCGACATCGAGCACACATCAACAGGGGCTGCAGCGCTTCTCCCCTACACTGATAGGATCCACCCCTCAACCTGTCTCGAACTTCATTCGACGTCGACACCAGATGTTACTGATTGGCGTTGCCCAAGCAGATACACGTGAATGTTCGAAGCACCTGTCATACGACAAGGGCAAGACTATACTCCTCTGTATGCACCTACGTATCTGTCTATTCAGACGAGACCGGTGCACCTCACACTCACACTTTGTCCTGACCCTGTGTCCTGCACCCAATTTTTTGGGCCCACACCCCGCAGGCGAGTTGGATGGTCTGGTCAACATGGCAAGGGGCGAACCCATACCCACACACTTGCGAGCGGTGTCAGCATGGGTGTACGAACACGCCAACCTGTCACCTGAAACTGTGCAGGCATTCTGTGGCTACTACATGAACAAGGTACTTTATAGTGTACTACATGAACAAGGTGGCGTTAGAGTGTACTACATGAACAAGTTAGCGTTGTGGGTGGTACACCGGTGAGCGTCGCAGCCCAGTGTGTTCGTATAGGGTGATCGACTGGTGTTTAAAGCGAAAGTGTGCTATAGTCCAATGGAGAGAGTGTTTTTTATAAGTTTTATAAGTGAAAAAGTGTTTTCGTTAAAGTGCACAGAGCGTCTTCATAAAAGTGGAAAGAGTGTCGTCTGAGTGCCTTTTAAACACTCCCACTCTGCAGTGGATGGCGGGTGTGTATGTGCACAGTCACTCAAAGGTGTGAGCCTCACGTGACTTTCTCTCCGATGTTTAAACCCACCTCTCAGTGCATATACTCTGCCACTTCACACACACACACACACACACACACACACACACACACACACGAGGTGGGAGCTGTTGTGGGGGTGACGACGATGTACATAGAGAGACAGCCGCTGTTGCTGGTGCTGCAAGATGTCATGTTCCAGGGTTTAGAGTTTGGTGCCACGGGGATGTTAGGTTCACTGGCCCAACTTGTAGCGCCGTGTGCCCACAAGATACTCTCGGGCCAGCGAGTGGAGGATATGCAGCACGTGGTACAGACCATTCAGTACTGGGGCGGCCAGGGCCTCTTCAACCCACAGATGGTATGTGCAGGGTGTGGGAGCACTCGCTCGTGCGTGCAAGTGCGTTTGCTACACGTGTAGTAGGAGGTGTAGGTATTGGTCTGCCGTTGGTGTACGTACAAAGGCCAGGGCGAGAGACTGCACACGTGTACACGTGCGAATGAGTGGTAGGTACCATTGTGAGTCATATACTGGTGTAGGTACCATTGTGCGTCATAGACTGGTGTAGGTA